TTTTGTCATCATCAGGTCGAAACGTTGTACATTTGCTGTTATGTTAAACTTATATTCAAGGTTTTCTTCATTACCCATTCAAGCCGTCTCCAGCCATTATTAGTCTGAAAGTGGGTCCCTCGTCATCGAACATTACCTAAATGTTTTCTATTCTTCAAATATGTCATAATTATTATTTTTTAAGAATAATTCGTTTCTATGATGTATTTTGTAGACTGATCTATTTGAGAAAAGTTTACATCTACATCTAATCCCGAAAAAAGGTTTGTAGTCTTTATAAACTGTTTCTCTCTCTCTCTGAAATCTTTACACACTGTTTTATCTGTCAAACGTTGTGATGTGGTATTTATTTTCGTGCGGCGGCTATCGTGCACTTTATAACCTAGTTTAATTTTGAAAATGATAAAAAAATCTACCAGTCTTTGATAGAATTAATGGTACCAGAAATGTAAAAAATCGACGGTATGATTTTTGTTATGAATTAGTTAGGTATTAGTGTTCAACTGAACTTGAAAAACTTAAGGCCACTAATGATAATATCTTGCTGGAAGCAAAAGCTGATTCTCACGACCGGCCAAGGGCATTTACTTCGCGGAGAGATATCACATTTGTCCTCCACAAGAAAAAAAAGTAAAACATTCGGAGTACGTCGAACCTTTCTAGCCAGATATAATCATTATCAGTCAAATCAACTTTTGCATTAAGGTAACTCAATATTCTTGCAAGAAAATTAGGCTTAGCGTTGTCATGAGAAAATTGTCAAATTATACAACAGTTTATAGGATAAAAACAGTATATGTACGTATATTTGCATATTTAGAGAGATATGTCAATCATACAGGAATCCCTCTCTGTACTATTCTTTCTAAAGTGTCACGTTAAATGAGTAATTTTGAATGTATTAGTATAAGAGCTACATCTATAAATCCAAGCTTTTTTCAGTAACTTTTATTTACAAATAAACAGTTTTATTTGTTGATACCTTAAGGTCGAGACATTTTTACGAAAATCAAAGAAACAGATTAAACATTTATTAAGATCTGAGATCATGATCGTAACTACAATATAATCTGCCCCCTAGTGGCACAGCGGTATGTCTGAGGACTTACAACGCTAGAATCCGGGTTTAGATACATGTGGTGGGCAGAGCACAGATAGCCTATTGTGTAGCTTTGTGCTTAATTACAAACAAACAAGATAATGTGAGACAGGAAAAAAAAAAAGAGATATGTGATTTTGAAAATTTATCCCAGAATAATCAAATATAATTTCTGTTTATTAAATACATTAAATATATGGTATTAGAAACTGTTACTTTCATATTAAACATTTGAAAAACCATATGAT